ATTATCATATTCCTCACCACATCCATCATCACAAGTTTGTGCCTTAGTGGCCTTAGCCATGAAGCAAGTCGATGGAGTATCGAAGAGAGAAGGCTTCTCATTAATGACAATGCTTGCTAGAGCCTTCTTCTTGGTGGTCTTGTCATCATCACTATCATCATCGTCACTTGAGGAAGCATCACTATCCCAAGTGACCATATATGAACCACCCTTCTTCTTCTTGATGGTCATCTTGTCCTTCTTCTCCTTCTTCTCCTTCTTCTCCTTCTTGTCCTTCTTCTTGCCCTTCTTGTCATCATCATCATTCTCACTATTGTAGGGGCATTGAGCAACAAGATGATCCTTGCTACCACACTTGAAGCACCTTCTTGCTTCATCCTTGCTCTTGGATGATGACTTCTTTCTTCTTGCATGATAGCCCATCTTCACCATGAATTTGATAAACCTCTTCACAAAGAGAGCCATCTTCTCATTATCCATATCATCAAAGCTCGAATCATCATCTTCACTTGATGTATCTTGCTTGGCCTTGCCCTTTGATGATGATGTGGCTTTGAATGCCACACTCTTTTTCTTCTCATCCTTCTTCTCATCTTCCTTCTCCTTCTTTTCTTCCTTCTCATCATCATCTCTATATATGTCATCAGTCATCACATCTCCTAACACTTGGTTTGGTGTCATTGTGTCCAAACCACTCCTCACTAGCAAAGTCACCAACATGCCAAATCTCGATGGTAAGCATCTCAAGAACTTATGAGAGAAGTCCTTGTCCTTCACTTCTTCACCAAGTGCTTTGAGATCATTGACTAGCACTTGTAGCCTATGAAACATCTCTAGCACACTCTCATCATCCTTCATCTTGAAGCTTGCAAATTTCTCCTTGAGAATGTATGCCTTGGCACCCTTCACCGCTTGTGTGCCCTCAAATGATTCCTCCAACTTCTTCCAAGCCTCATGAGCCATCTCAATATTCTTGATTTGCTCAAATGTTCTCTCATCAATAGCATCATGAATGGCACTTAGAGCAATGTTATTGTTTTGGAGAAGCACTTCTTTGGCCACGGTGGGATTCTCCGGATTGGCAATCTCAATCTTGGTCTCCACCACCTTCCACACCTTTCTATTGATTGACTTGATATATGTGGTCATCTTTGACTTCCAATATGGATAATTTGTGCCATCAAATTGGGGTGGCTTCTTGGTGTTGTTGATTTGAGCCATTTTGACACTAAAGGTTGTTAAGCCTTAAATCATGGTGACCATGACTCTGATACCACTTGAAAGGTCCTAATGGCTAGAGGGGGGGGTGAATAGCCTATTAAAAATTTCTACAACAACACTAAGACAAGTGATTAGTAAATAAGATGGTGAAGCGAATTTTGCACTAGCACTACACTTGTATTGCAAGCCACCTACCTAATTCTAATCTCTATGATATCTAGTATGTCACACAAGGGCTATGTCACTAATTTACACTTAGGTGATCAAGCTAGCTAGAGAACTACAACTAAAGAGCTACACTAGCTACAACTACCACAAGCACTACACAAGGTAAATACACAAAGAAATGCAAGAGAGTGGTAGAAGTGATATACCGTCGTGGCAAGTGATCAATCAATGAATACCAAAGAATACCAAGGAGACAATGATGACACAATCAATTTTTCCTCCTAGGTTCACTTACTTGCCGGCAAGCTAGTCCCAGTTGTAGCAATTCACTCACTTGGAGGTTCACACGCTAATAGGCATCACATGTCTAACTGACAACCGGGTGCTGCACAACCAACACAAGATGAGGATCCACAAGCCACGCGCAATCCACTAGAGTTGCCTTTGGCGCTCCGTCGGGGAAGGCACAAGAATCCCTCACAATCAGAATGATCGGAGCCAGAGAAAATCATCTTCCTCCGCTCGACAATCCACCAATCACTAGGCCATCTAGGTGTCGGCAAACACCAAGAGTAACAAGATCTCCACCAGCCTAAATCGCCCAACTAGTGCCACAAGATGTAGAACACTAAGCAATGCACTAGTGGCTCTCCAATCTCACTCAAGATGATGAAATCAAGTGTGCAAGTGAGTGGAGTGGTGTGCTCAGCTCTCAAAGGGTGTATGCAGCTGTTAGAAGTGCCAAGAGAGTGGCCAAGGCCAGCCACCACCTCTATTTATAAGCCCACAAGCAAATAGAGTCGTTACCCCTTTGAGTCAGCTTCTACGGGGGCACCGGACACGGTGGTGCGGTCACCAGACATGGGGTGGCGGTGCCAACGGTCATCCAACGGTTGGTTGGGGCACCAGATAGGCAGCGGTGGCATCGGACAGGGGGTGGTGGTGCCACCCCGGAGCTGCCCATTTTCCCTACTCTCTGGAAAAATAGGGCGGTGCATCGTCACAGGGGTGGCGGTGCCCACGATGGTGCACTCCGTTGGTTGCCCTGCTCTCTGTTGAAAAGAGGCGGTGCCACTAAACAGGGTGACGGTGACCCTGGTGGTGCACCATCGTGTCTAGGGCGGTGCACACCATCACTGACGGTGCCAGCCTCTCTCTTCACTGCTCTCAGCCGAGCCCAGGTGGGCACCGCCCTAGGGGTGGTGGTGCCACCAGACAAGGGGTGGTGGTGCGCCCCTCTGGGCAACACCCAACTTGCCCCTCTCAACCTCTAGCCAGTCACCGCCCTAGGGGTGGTGGTGCACCGGATAGGGGGTGACAGTGCCCCAGAGGCAGCACCTCATCCCCTTCTTCACCTTCTTTGCTACCTTTGCAAATGTGCTAACACTTCAAGTGTTTCACCATCATGTGCAAGTGTGTTAGCATTTTCACAATCATTTTTCAAAGGTTAATCACTTTCTCACCGATTGTGCACTAGGCCTAAAATATATATGCATGTTTTCCAACACCTGTGGCACTAGATGATCGAGTTGTCCGATAAGAGCTCCCCTCTTAATAGTACGACCATCTATCCTAAATGTGATCACACTCTCTAGTGTCTTGATCACCGAAAACAAAAAGGCCCTATTGATATCACCTTTGCCTTGAGCCCTTTTTGTTTTTCTCTTTCTTCTTTTCCAAGTCCCGAAGCTTGATCATCATCACTTGTGTACGCACCGTCACCATGACCTTCATTTCATGTGGCCATTTCCATCCTTGAGTGCTACCTAGCTCCTTCACTTGGGTTGGACCAACCTATCTCAATTCTACACTTAGAGCATAGGGTTTCATCAATTTACCAAAACTAAACTAGGGCTTTCACCCGTCCCCCGCTGCGCCACCAGCATTGAGAAAAAGGGGAGGGGGCGGCACCCACCTGTGCGACTAGTTCGGATGCCCAGCCAACGCCGAGAGAAGGTGAAGACACCTAGGCGAGGCAGTCAAAGGCGAGGAGAGAGCGAGATGCAATACCCAATTTACTTTTGAAACATCCAGATACAACACTTGCAACATGTCTGAACGCAGATGAAACACTTGAAACATGCATCCAAAACATTTGTAAAAACACCTAAAAACACTTGAAAACCATGTAAAAATATACACAACATCTAGATAACACACTTGGAATATATATGTGAAACATATGCAACATCCAAATAAAGACACTTGCAACATACGTCTCGAAAAATAGCTGAAACATTGGGAACAAAAGCTTGCAACATACGTGCACAACCATTGCAACATATGCAACATCCCGATCTACTTTTCCAACATGCGTTTTCAGCGTGAAATGTCACCTTGCTGCTTGGACGAATCACAGAGCTCGACGCTGGCGCGGAGGTCGGCGGTGGCGCTTGGAGCTCGCCGGTGCACCCCTAGGCGAGCACCTGCTCAGCGGCCTGGGTGAGCACCTCCGCGAGGCGCGCGAGTACCCTAGGCGAGCATCTGCGCAAGCACCCCTAGGCGAGCACTTGCTCGCGCGGCCTACTTGGGCCAGCACACCCTTGGCGAGCACCTGCTCGACGGCTAAGCGGGCAGCGAAGGCGTCCGCGGCGGCGCGGATGCCGTGGTGTAGGCGAGCGCCGCGGTGGAGCACAGAGTGGGGAAGGCGAGCGGCGTGGTGGAGTCGGGCGCAGAGGTTCGATGGAGCGGTGGATAAGACCACGGCGGTGGAGGGTGGAGGCCGAGTGCGTAGAGAGATTTTTTTGAAGGGGTGCAGACCGATAAGGTAGCTAGGAAGGCACGTCCGTCCGTCCCCAGACGCCCGCACGAGAGCATTACCGTTCTAATATTTTATTCCGTAGCGCTAAGGGTTGTTTGGACCACATTTTGCATTATTACAAATCTAGATTATGAATCGGATTGTTATAATCTGGATTACTTGGATCTCTGTTATGGGCACTGGATTATTGTCTATTAACCTATAATTTCCTACTAGTAGGTTAGAGATAGATCATAAGATTACAATACTATTGGTTGGAATACTATAATCCAACATATTATTTTATCTTATTACTATGTTCCAAAAATATGTCCCAAACATATCCTAAGTTTATCCCCAATCAAAATTTGTTTTGTCAAAAATCATGTGGCCTTGGCATGGTTTACATGATGTTTGGGTGTTCCTTTGTCCAATTTACGTCCAAACAAGTGCTTACCAAGGTTTCAGTAACAAGAATGCAAAGAAAAGAGATTCCCCTCTGTCGATGATTTCAGAAGCGATATCACGCAAGAAAATTATACTAATAAAAAGAAAAATATGCGGGGTGATATGAACCCAAGAGCGAGAGCGAGAGCAAGAAAAAGGTTTTGATGGCTCTCACCACCGGATGAATTTCAATCAGAAAAACCACAAGCGAAACCTTGGACACTTTAGCAGGTGCGCTTCTCTTGTTATTTCATATATATTTGTCATCTGTTCCATCGTTTCATGTCACTATGTATATGCGTGAGATATTGGTCAGCAAGAAATTCTAATTTCTATGGACCGGCAACGAGCTCTAGCTTACAGTTCACTAGGCCACATACTGGTGTACTTCAATTTGAAGTATCAGAAACTTACTACCAGGCCATCACCCTGAAATTGAAGGGTCAAGGACGCGGCCAACAAAGACGATAGCACGAGACACCTCCTCGATCACAAAGAACACAAACGGGTGGTCAGCAACGAAATCCACCTTCACCGGCTGATCCATCACCGCACTTGCTCCACAGAGCATGTAGATAGCAGTGGCACCATTGGCAACGGTGCCTCCCTCGTTCACCTCGATCACTGCCTTATGGCAGACGTCCGCAACGTACAGCGGCGTGCCAGCAGTGTCAGCGTCCTCGTCGGCCAGGTCAGCTTCGCCGGCAACGAAAGCGGACTTATCCCCATGCCGTCACTCAGGGCCTCCCTCACGCTACCGGAGGCGGACAGCTCGAACTTGGGCAGCCGGAAGTCCCCGACGGGGACCTGCGAGGTCGGCAGGCGGTAGTGCCAGAACCCGGGGCTACCTTCTCGACGAGACCTGGGAGCCCGTCCCGCTCGTCCGGCAGGAAGACGCACATGGAGTATTTCGGGGCGGGGTCGTCATCGCCGTCGCCGGGCTTGCTCTCTGATGGTGTTGATCCCTTACGTCGTGGTGCTGGCGCCGGTGCTGGTGCCGGTGCCGGCGATCTGTAAGGAAGCTTGAGCACCTTGTACCCGTTGCGGATGGCGATGTACTGGCTCCGCATTGAGCACATGAAGGGCACGTCGGCTGTGCTGCCGTCCAGGCGGTGGAACTTGTCCACCACCGTGTGCGCCTTGGCGAATGGCGCCTCCCATCTGCCCTTGAAGTAGATGCCGCTGGAGAGCATGAGCAGGCACGGAGCCAGCGGTGGGGCTAGGGGGGCTCCAGCCCCCCTACCGCTCACGAGCAAGCGAAGCCCCGTAGAGCCGCCATCTGAAATTTCAGCTGTAGATGTATAGGTAGGAGGACAGAGATTTCCTGAACCTCTTTTCTTGCTAATTGCCGTTGTTTAGCTCCTTCTAATTTTTTCCCTAGCTTCGTCCCTGAGCACGAGGGTTGTGCGTGTGTCCACTGAACTTGGATCGAGGATGGAGTCGATGTGATTGTTGGTCGCCGCCGCCAAACAGCCGTTGATCTCGCCTACTGCCTTCTCCGGCTTCACGAACAGACAGAATTAAAATTTTGTTTCAGTAGTGCATTCCATTAATAATGTACAAGAACTGTCAAAGGAATTTGGATGATTTCGATTAGATCCGTATAGTCTGCAATGCATGCAGGTTACAAGATCTCACCTCGTTACCGAAGTCGACGGCGCGCGCCTCGGCGTTGTAGGACGCGGCGGCGGGGTCGCGGAAGGCCGGCAGGAGCGCCCACGCCGCGTCGAGCCACGCGCCGCACGCGAACGCGACGGCGGGCCCACCGCCCGACCGCGAGCGCGAGCTCCGCGGCGCGGCGGGCGAACGCGGCGAGGTCGTCGCGGGAGTCGCCGCCGAGCGCGTCGAGGAGCTCCTGGAGCGTGCCGCCGCGGGCGCCGACCGCCAGCAGCGCTAGCGCCGCGTAGACGGCCACCGGCGAGAAGAGGAGGTTGGCGGCGGCCGCGGTGGCGGCAGCGGCTCTAGGGCCGCCCGCCGGCTCCCCCGCGACGACGGCGGCGGGCGGCGTTTGTAGTTGTAGTTGCCGGCTCCCCCGCGACGACTTCTTGGGCACGGTCTTTCCTGATCTCCGTCCCTTTCGCGTCATGGCTAAGTTGAATACTTGATTGGCGACGATGTTTCTCTTTGTGTGTGTGTCAGGATCGAGTCGCAGTCGGATCAATATATGGAAAATGTCTAGTTCTCATACAAATCCAATATCTGCGACTAATAATACCATAAAATAAACTCGTATTTCGTTCCAATTTCCATGACATCGGCAAAAAATTCTGTGTGGACGCGGAGCCGGCGGAAGGCTCCAGATCACGCGGCCTGCTGCGGCTAATAATGCCGTCATGTCGATGCACAGCACGTGGACACTCACCAAGAAGTTATCCAGACGCCCCGTGGCTCCCGGCTCGGCTCCGGATCGACTCGGATTGGCTGATAAGCGAAGAGACGGTCGGCTCGCCTTCCAGAAAAAGCGCTGTACGGGTACCGGTCCTGCTGGTGGCACATAGTCGTCGACGGAAAATCGCCATCGGCAACGGCGACGGCGTTGTGGACGGGGCCGCCGGCTGCGGCGAGAAGCACGTCCATGCATGGTTTGCCCCGGCGAGATGACCACCGTCCGCGAATGTGTGGTTGTCACTGCAGAGAACAAATATTGGTGAGCCCCTGACCATGTCTAGGGTGATTGTTCCATATAGCAGTGGCTTTAAGTCCCCATGCATGCTGATTTGGATAGCATATAAGTGGTTTACGCAGATGCTCAAAATCCATTTATGGGGGCAGGCAACATGTCCGCCTTCAAGCAGAGGCTTCCGTTCATCAAAATTTGCAGAGGTGAACAGAGTGCCTGCCTGCATTAATCAAAATTTGTTGATAGTACTGCCATTTGGTGGTTTGTTGCATAGGTTGGGAAACAATAGCCAAAATTTATCACATGATTATGCTGCTTTCCTTGTGTTCGAGCTAGACGGTAGCGGGGAACAAGTTGGTTAGCTGCCACAACCATGATTGCCTCCTAACTCGTGAGCCTAGGGGTGTTTGGGGCTGCTCCACAAACTCTGCTCCACAAACTTCACCTGGAGCAGCTCCACAAAAAACTGGAGTTTGTCGAGCACCTCTTCAGGTGCTCTCATAACTCTACCCTTTTTCATCGAACAGAGTGCGTGTAGCTGAAACCGTTTGACTAAAAAACGTGGAGCAGATCTGAAAAACGTGGAGCGGTGGTTCTAATCTGCAACCAACCATGAAGTTACTGCAGGGTGCTGTTTTATTTAATACCAGCATATCATCGATGCATACTTTTGTCCACCGTGTTCCGATGATCAAGTGGCCTAGTGTACGGGTGATCACAATAATTGCAATACAACTAATAATACTGTTGGATCCAGGAGCCAAGCATATGCAATTTTCTAGCAGTAAGGCATTTGAAGCTCTTAAGGTCTGCTATAATGACGCATATTAACTATATGGTCACAGTCCTGAAATTGCCAGGGAGCTCATGTGGTCTCAGAAGCATGGAAAAGCTTACAAAGTCTGAAAGTAACTGAATTGCCTGATATTTACAAACCGATGCATAGAATCAAGGGACTACTTATACCTTGGAACCCACATCATAAAGAACCCCTAGGTATTATAATTGTGACGTTCCATTTCGCTCCCTACCTCACATGCCTGGTTGCATTTGCTTATATCCCCTACTACCCAACCACCCCTCCCTACTTCCCCTTTTCTAAGGCCACAGATCGCTGGTCCTTCTCACCACCAGCTATCGTTGTCCCTAGCCACTGTGGCTGCCGATCACTTCTCCTTTATCCCTTACCTCCCAGCCACCTCTTCCCACTTTCCCTTCTCCTGAGGCCACAGATCGCTCCTAGTGCCAGTCAATAGTCCTTCTCATCACCGGTCACTGCTCCCTGTTGATACTTTTTATGCTCAAATGGATAATTCTGCAAGTGCACCTAATATCGATGCAACACTTTACCCGGGAGTATTTCGAGTATCAAATTTATCTTCTTAGGGAAAGCAAATGGCTAAGATGATTGATTGATATGATTTGCAATGACTAAGTTACAAACAATCTTTCGATTCTAAACAGGGGTAATGATAATAACAAAGGTAGTGCAATACAAGGGTCAAGGAAGAAGATATAAGATAAACGGCACAGCTAGTGGGAGTACAATCAGTGAGTACAAGAGCCCCCATGTTACTTCTACTGTTAAGCACAACTCTTGTACATGCTATAGCAATATAACTAAACTAAGAAATAGTAAGGTAGGATTCAATAACACTTCGGGGTACAGTCCTGACACCAATAGAAAGGGATGAGAAGGGTTGACAGAGATAAATAACAATTATTGAACCCTATGCTTTAAGAACTAGCTCAAACGTGTTGGAATACATAGGTTCGATGGGGCTAGCCGCAAACACAGGTAAGATAGACTAAACACCATGTTGACTCTATGAACTTACGGCTCTAACCCTGGCCATTGTGAATGATTAGAGGCTAGAGCACTCTATAAAGAGCGGTGAATCCATGCTATGATATAACCAATTATACTAAACAAGCCAATTGTAACACAAAGTTCTAACTAGAGATCAAGAATACTACTATAAATAAGTAAGACTTGAATGAAGTAATTATGTAAAGTAGAAAACAATGGCCCCATTTGGCACGACTCAGCTTCACCAGTAAAGCTGTTTTTTTTTTTGTGTTTTAGCTTCAAAAGCAGCTTGGTGAGCTAAGCTGTTTTGATCATCCGTCTGGCAAAATAGCTTCATATGATGGATTAAATGAAAAAATGACTAAAATGCCCTTTGTTTTTCTTTTCTTTTCTTTTTCTATTATCATCTCCTTCCTTTTTTGGCTCATCTTCCCGATGCGCATCTGGCGGTGCCCGTCTTCTCCCGATGCGTGGCCCGGGCGACATCCGCGCATGCATGGCTCCAGTGGCCGAGCCGCTCGAGCCCAATGGCCACATCCCCGGCGGGCTATGCCCCAACGATAGCGCACCCTGGCGGCCATGCCCCTGGCAGCCCAGCGGCTGACCCGCTCGTGCCCGGCGACTGTGCCCCCGCAGCTGACCCGCTCGCACCCGTTGGATGCGCCGCCGGCGAGCTGTGCGGCGGTGGCAACGCGCCCTGGCGGCCGCGCCCAGCCTCGTGTCCCTGCGGCTGCATCCCGTCCCTACCCCCACGACGCCTTGTCTCGTGTCCTCGGCAGCCGCGTCTCGGCCCTGTGTCGCCTGCAGCTGCGCCCCGTCCCTTCTCTACGGCGGTTGCGCCCCCGCCCAGCGTCCCTACGCTCCGATGGCCGCGCCCCAGCTTGGCATCCCCGGCAGACGCGCCTTGACCCGTGCGCACGTGCCCCGGCGGCCGTGACCGCGCTAGCGTTTCTCGTGGCAAATCTGCCAACTACCTTGGGCCCACTTGTGTCAGATAAAGTTAGGATAAACTACTTTTTTCAGCTTCATCCAAATTCATTCCTTTGTGAGGGGAGAAAAAAAAACAGCTTCATCCATGAATCTGTTTTGAAAAATAGTGTTTGGAAAAAAAACAGCTCACACCAGCTTATGAAATTGTTGGTAAAGCTGTGCCAAATCGGGACAATATGTTCAATACAGGAAAATCTTAAAAAAAGCAGAAATGTACCATTTAAAAGGTCCCACTGCATGATCACATTGCCAATCTCACTGAGGAACTTATTGCCCTGGGGTCTATTTGGCAACACTCCAAGTGCTCCAGATTATTAAAAAAAATAGCTCCATATCTACTTTGGGTTATAGTCTCCATACGAACACAAAGGGATGAGAAGGGTTGATAGAGATAAACAACAATTAAACCATATGCTTTAAGAACTAGCACGAACGTGTTGGAATATATAGGATTGATAGGGCTATCACCACCTACCAACTACCACAATATATCCGTGGGGCTAGCTGCAAACATAGGTAAGATAGTCTAAACACCATGTTCACACTATGAACTTACGACTCTAACCCTGGCCATGACGAATTGATTAGAGCACTCTATGAAGAGTGGTGAATCCATGCTATGATATAACCAATTATACTAAACAAGCCAATTAATTATAACATGTTGTAACTAGAGATCAAGACTACTACTAAATAAGTAACACTTGCATGAATAACTTACGGAAAGTAGAAAACAATATATTCAATAAAGGAAAGTCTTACGAAGAAAGGAAAGGTACAAGAGTTATATCAAACTCTGAAGACTACTTCTGGGTTTTGTTCATATTCTTTCCTTAATATTTAACAAGGCCCCACCGCATGATCACATTGCCGACCTCAGTGAGGAACTTATTGGCAGAGCTCCAAGTGCTCTAGATTTAAAAAAACAGCTCCATATCTGATTTTTTTTTACATAAACGCCTCAGCTCCACGGAATCCAGATCCACCAAAAATCCAAATCTGGGGCTCGATCCATGGATTTCAAGGAGCATCTCAAGGGGTGCTATGAAAACTCATGGATCCCTTGAGTTAGCCAAAATTACTTACCATACCACTGATTACACGAGAAAGCTCTATGGAATCCAGATCCACCAAAAATCCAAATCTTTTTTTCACCTGTCTTCTTCCCTGTCGCGACCCTCACGCTGCCCACTTGGCCTCTCGTGCCGACCCCTTGGCTTCGATTATCATAAGAGTCTCTACATTATTTATATGGCATATTTGATTACCATAGTACGTAGTAGCTATTTAGTGTCGAGAGACTAGTTTATAAAACTAGTGAAATGAATCTATGTATTGATGGTGGTTATTTTTCTTCATCCACCAAAACTTATAAAGCGATATACTACCTCCGTCCCCAAAAGAATGCAATTATGAGAAACGTGCTGGTCAAACTACTTCAACTTTGACCAAGTTTATAGCAAATAATATTAGCATTTATGTCTCCAACTAAATTTATTATGAAAATATATTCTATAACTAATCTAATGGCACTTATTTTGTTTTATGAGTATTAGTATATTTTTATGTAATTGTAGTCAAAGTTTAAACTTTTGACTCGTCGAAATGCGAGAATTGCATTCTTTTATGGATGGAGGTAGTAACATTTTTGGAAACAGTGTAACGGAACATATCACTGAGATCGGCCAAACAACGGGCTCCCTTTCACAAATGCAAAAGCATTCTTTAAATTAACTAATGTGTTGTTGCATGCCCCACTCTAAGCCGTCGTGAGTCACACTGGGCATAATTAACCGAGAACCGAACCAAAATAACCAGAACCAAAACTGAACTAACCGAAACCGAATTTTTCGGTTCTAGGTTTGTAGGAACCGAATTTATCTCAGGTAATTCAGTTCTAGGTGTCGGTTACACTACTACATAAATCTTATTGGAGGCAGGAAAAAAGGTTAATGGAGGCCGGCATTGCAACCGCCTCCGATCAAAGGTCACGGTTTATCGTGACTTTATGGAGGCGGTTGTCCTACTAACCGAGGCGGAACCATTAGGGTGCCTGCCTCCGTTAATCGTTTTTTTAAAAAGCCCAAGCGAGTCCAGTCGAGCCCACGATTGAGCTCAATCAAGCCCACTGTCATCGCGTCGACGCTGCCGCATTCGGGCCGCTAGCATCCACGCCACGCCACCGCGCCATTGGTCCTCCTCCACGCTGAGCTCTTGCACACCGCTGCCACTGCTCCTCATGCGAACGCGCCGCCACTGCTCCTCCTACGAACGCGCCGCCGCTGCTCCTGCTGGACGCGCCGTCCTGCCATGAAGAGAGGGTGAGCGAGATGGAGAGGACAAAACGAGGGAGGGAGCCACCGGATCTGCCCGCCCACGCGCGGATGTCGAGTGGGAGCCCGCCGCCGACAGATAGGGAGGGAGGGTGCCCGCTGAGGGAGAGGGAGGGAGGAAGCCACTGGATCTAAGCAGAGAGAGGGAGGGAGGGAGGACGCCAGATCTGCACGGTGAAGGGTCGAGATGGCGACTAGAGGGGGGGTGAATAGTCTTTTCTAAAACTTAATCGTGTCGGCTAACCGATACAAATGCGGAATTAAAACTATCGGTCTAGCCAAGACTATACCCCACTATATATGTTCACTAGCACCTTGCAAAGATAACAATTATGCAACAAAGGTGCCGGGCTAGTTAGAGCTCTCCTAAACAATTCTAGGAGCAAGGTTATATAAACCTATGCCGCTAGTACTTTAAGCAACAAGGGAGCTCCTACACATGCTAGTAAGCAAAAGCACAAAGCTAACTAAGCTCACTAGCAATGCTCAATAACAAGGCAACCAATGCCTAATTAGAGAGCGCAAATACTTAGCTACACAAACTAAGAAATGTGATTAACAAGGTTACTAAAACCAAATTAGCCACGCAAGGGAGCTACTTCTATGCTACACAAGCAAGAAGGTAATTAGCAAGCTACACAAGCTACCTAATTACAAGAGCAACAACACAAGCTTAATGTATATGAAAGTAAATGCAAGCTTGTGTAACGGGGATGCAAACCAACGGGAAGAACAAGGTTGACACGATGATTTTTCTCCCGAGGTTCACGTGTTTGCCAACACGCTAGTCCCCGTTGTGTCGACCGCTCACTTGGTGGTTCGGCGGCTAATTAGCATCACCCGCTAAGCCCGCACGTCGGGCGCCGCAAGAACCTACCCCTTGAGTGAGGGTAGCTCAATGACACGCTTTTACTAGAGTTGCTCTTCGCGGCTCCCGCGGGGCGAGCACAATGCCCCTCACAAGCACTTCTTCGGAGCGCCGCACAAGCTTCTTGCGTGCTTCCACGGAGACCACCACCAAGCCATCTAGGAGGTGGCAACCTCCAAGAGTAACAAGCACCACCGGCTTGCAACTCAATCACCTAGTGCCACTCGATGCAACCTCACGATGCAATCGCACTAGAATCGCTCACTCACACAATCGAATGATCACTATCAAGTATATGTGTGATGGAGGGCTCCCAAGCACTCACAAGCATGGACACTAAGTCCCTTGAGGTGCTCCACACCAGCCATGGCCGAAGGTCACTTCTATTTATAGCCCCAAGGGCTAAACTAGCCGTTACCCCTTCACTGGGCAATGGTCGGGCCGACCGGACGCTCCGGTCGTGTTGACCGGACGCTGGACCTCAGCGTCCGGTCGCCCACAGACGACCACGTGTCCCGGTTCCAACGGTCACTTGACTTGACCAGACGCAGCAGCTTTCAACTGACCGGACGCTGAACCCCCAGCGTCCGGTCGTTTCCAGTAAGGTCCCAAGCATGACCGGATGCGTCCGGTCGAACGCGATCGGACGCAGCCAGCGTCCGGTCACACTCCAGCTTCTGCGTCACCGTACGTCAGCCTGACCGGACGCAGCCAACCAGCGTCCGGTGCTTTCAGACCCAGCGTCCGGTCAGTTGACCGACGCCAGCGTCTTCGCGACCAACTCGTTTTCACTTCTAACTTCTTCACCCTTGCTCCAATGTGCTAACCACAAGAATTTGCATCCGGCGTAATAGAAAATAGGCACTCCCATTTTCCCGAAAGCGCCGAATCCCGCCGAGCTTGCGAGGCGGGAGGGAGAGAGGGACCCAAACCCATCTCACCCTTGCAAACACCACCTCCTTTGTAAGTGTGCCAACACCACCAAGTGTACACCACCATGTGTATGTGTGTTAGCATTTTCACAATCATTTCCCAAAGGATGTTAGCCACTCAACTTGCCACGCCACTCGATCCTAGCGACAATGCAAAGTTAGATCACTCGAGTGGCACTAGATGACCGATATGCAAACAAGTTTGCCCCTCTTGATAGTACGGCCATCTATCCTAAACCCGGTCATAAACTTCTCTACACACCTATGACCGGTGAAATGAAATGCCCTAGGTTATACCTTTGCCTTGCGCATTCCACTCCATCTCCTTCAATGTCGATGCAACACATGCACCAACACGATCAACAATGATATGATCCACTTCATATCATCACATGATCATATTGGTTCATCGATCTTGACTCTACTTGCTCTTCACCGTTGCCATCGTCCATCGGCGCCAAGTCTTGCTCAAGCTTCACCGCCACGCGGTCCATCACTTCAAAGCCTTCGACTTGCCCTTCACGCTTGCAACCGGTCCATCAAGCCAAGTCTTGTCTTGATCTTCTCCACCTTGATCACATGACTCAATGTCATGTCTCATGTGCATTTAAGCTCCTTCATCATCACATGTGTGAGCTTTGCAACATCTTCAAGCCATTTTCACCTCCATGGCATATGTTGCTCATACACATGTACCTGTGGACTAATCACCTGTGTATCTCACATAAACACAATTAGTCCACCTAAATTGTCACTCAATTACCAAAACCAAACAAGGACCTTTCACACGGGTGAGTGAGAGGGAGGGAGGACGGGTGAGTGAGGGAGGCCGCCGCGTGGGCCTGGGAGAGGGAGGGAGGATGAGTGAGGGAGGCTGCCGCTCGGCTGAATGGCTGAGGAAGCCGCTGAACCCTAACTTGAGGTATATATACGAAGAGCTATTGGGCCTCGCCTGGTCCTATTGGGCCTCGGCCTTTTTAGGAGGCGGGAATTATATTGTGCCCGCCTCCAAAAATGGATTTATGGAGCCTCCAAAAGTATTCTATTTTTGGAGGTGGTTGTGTTAAGACGCCTGCCTTCGTAAATCCATTTTTGGATGCGGGCAAAAGCGACCGCCTTCGGAAATAAAAAATGCCCGCCTCCGTTAATTGCCTAGCATTTTCCGAGGCGGTTGGATTTTATGACCGCCTCCGTTAATTAAAGTGCGACGCCACGCAAAATCAATACTGTAGTAGTGTTAACCGAAATAATTGAATACACCAAATTTTACACAAAGAAGCCCAACATCCTCGGGTCCTACATCCAATTTGGCCCAAGGAAAGCAGCCGAGGCGGCCCAAGGTAGGCGGCTCAACGGTCCAAGACAGCCTAACCCTAAGCCACCCTCACCCAGTCACCCGCACACATCACATCTGCTCCCTCCGACCCTCCTCCCCCACCCCGCATGCCCCACGCCGCCGCCACTGCTCTCTCTCGCCCTGCTCTGCTCCCTCAAGCACCGGCAGCAGCGGCGCATCCCTCTCTCAAGCACCGGCAGCGGTGGAGCACCCTCCTCCCTCAAACAATGGCGGCGCCGGTGCATCCCCTCCCTCAAGCACCAGCGGCAGTGGCGCATCCCCCTCCCTCAAGCACCGGCGGCGGCGGCGCACCCCCTCTCTCAAGCACTGGCGGTGGCGGCGCATCCCCTCCCTCAAGCACCAGCGCCGCATCCCCTCCCTCAAGCACGAGAGGCGGCGGCACATCCCCCTCCCTCAAGCATCGGTGGCGGCGGCGGTGGCGCGTTCCCTCCCTCAAGCTCTAGCGGCGACGGCAATGGCGCATCCTCCTCCCTCAAGCAGCGTCACATCCTCCGGCGCATCTACTTCCAAGTGATTTTGATTTTGTGATCTGTATTTGCTCTTGATTTTTGATTCGCCATGCTTCTTTGGATGATTCCGTGACTTCATTTTGGATGTGTTCTGTTGGAGCTCGGTTCGGACCGAAACCGAACCAAATTGACCGAAACCGAATTTCTTTTTCCAAGGAACCAATCGGTCAGTGAAACCTAGGTAACCGAATTTCTTTAAAAATCAAGGAACCGAACAGACCGAATGCCCAGGCCTACGTGAGGACTGTCAGCGACAACGTGCCTTGGAGTGGCTCTCGTGAATCTAGAGGAGAATTATATATTAACTAATGTGTTGTTGCCTGCCCCACTTTAACACTTTAACCTGGGAACTGAATCACCTATCCTCTCTCACACCACCTCAGAAGCTAGCTAGCATTTCACTCAGCCGTAGTCGCGACTCAAGATGGTGGAAGTGATGGCGAGCGTCGCCGCCACCAGTGTGATGGGCTCCGTCATCGGCAAGCTGGCCGCCATGCTCAACGAGAAGTACAAGCTCGCCAAAGACGTCGAGCGCGGGATCCACTTCCTGCATAAGGAGCTGAGCAGCATGGATGCTGTTCTGCAGATGCTCGACGAGAAGGACGACGACCAGATCGATCCACGAGCCAAGGACTGGAGGAGCAAGGTACGTGAGCTGTCCTACGACATTGAGGATTGCATCGACCGTTTCATGCTCAACCACAGCCAGGGAGGTTCCAAGGCCAACTTTGTGCGCAAGGCCATGCGAAAGGTGAAGACACTGTTCAAGGACGGAGGAATAGCAGAGGAGATCCGAGAACTCAAGAGCCTCGTCAGTGAGCAGAGCGAGCGGGGGAAACGCTACTGTGACATCAATCAGTGTCTCACCGCCTCAGCACAGCCGGTGCTCTTGGATCCTCGCGCACCTGCACTCTTTCAGGAGGCCAGCGATCTTGTGGGAATAGATGCTCCTCGTGAGGAGATCATCAGGTTATTGAAATGTGAAGAGAAGCAGCACAAAGTGGTGTCCATCTATGGGATCGGTGGACAGGGGAAGACCACCCTCGCCATGGAGGTGTACCACAAAATTACTGAAGTATTTGATTGTCGGGCTTTCGTGTCTGTATCACAAACTCCAGACACGAAGAGGCTTCTGAGAGATATATTGTCTCAAATAAGCAAGAGCGATTTTGACCGGTCAGACAGGTTGGAGACAGATCAGCAGCTGATACGCACACTGAGGGAATGCTTAAAGGACAAAAGGTAACCAAGATTATTTCTTTACCAAATAATTAACCTGTTCATCTAGCTGCGGTAATAATGTCGTCGAATCTTTGTTACTCACTTGAGCTCACCTAATTATTGGGCCCGTTATGATTTTTTTCTAGGATTTTTTTTTTAAAAATGATTCATCTTTCTGTCGCCCAATGAAGTGGACAGCATAAAACTACCTCAGATACATCAACTGCTCATCAACATATCTACCAAATGTTACCACTAAACATTTTACAACGATGAACAAACTAAAGTCAACTGTCCTTGGGTATGTTGACAACGGCTGGCTCATGCATCCCCAGCCCAAAATAATGTAACTGCACGGTACAGTCCCAATAGTACAAAGATGCTGTGCAATCTGAAATACGAAGTGAGCATCTCATATTCTGAAAAAACCGACTAGTAGAAACTCCAAGGCCTTCAATTTGCATCCCAGATGGTCACGTCGTACACCGTTGTGTAGCTATGATGTATCCCCGTACACCGTTGTGTAGCTATGATGTATCCCCTCCGTTCCAAACTATAAGTCATTCAATTATCTTGAAGTGTCAAAACAAAAAAAAACATCTTAAGTTTGACCAAATTTATATAACAAAATAGTAACATTTATGTTATGAAATAAGTGATAGATTGTTCATTAATTATGTTTCCATAGTGTGCACATTTGATGTCATAAATATTTGTAATTCTTTCTATAATTTTGGTCAAACCTGAGCTGCTTTGAGTCTAAAAAAAAGTTGAAATGACTTATAATTTAGAATTGAGGGAGTATTAGTCACAGTGGTATATCACTGTGTAGCCATGATGTATAGTCACCGTCCTGAGCACGTATGCATGTGACAAAATATTGCAAATAGAAACCTGTACCGGACAGAGATCAATATATTTTAGGGACCGAGATTTCCTGCCTTTTTCTTTTTTATAAATACTTTCATTATTTATTAATTACTTACTTGTTATATATATTTTAAAAATCGAGGACTAGGACTTGTTTGAGATCTTACCTCCTATGGGTATGGTGGGAGTACCGTAGCAAGGCATAAAGAATTCATTTTTTGATCTCAATGTTTCATTTCTTTTCAGTGGGTGTCCTCGTGCTCTAATGCGGCACTTACCATTTTGGAGGTTGTAACAAACTTTTTATATTATGGTAGTTTACAGCATGTATTTCTCATGTGTAATAATTACTGATAAGAAAGTGTGCCACTACGATCCATCTTACATTTCAATTCATGGTTGCCTTACATAATAATAACGTGATTCCGTAACCAATGCATGCAGGTATTTCATCCTGATTGATGATATCTGGAATGAATCAGCATGGAATGATGTACTATGTGCCTTACCTCGCAATGACAATGGAAGCAGAATTATTACTACAACACGCAGTAAAGCAGTAGCCAACAAATGTTGTAATGGTATTGCCGCACAAATGTATGAAGCCAAGCCACTTAGTGATGAGGACTCTCAGAGATTATTCTTTACGAGGCTATTTTTCTCCGGTGATGATTGTCACCCAGATTTGAGAAAAGTATCCGATGATATTTTGAAGAAATGTTGCGGCTTACCATTAGCCATAATCAGTATAGCTGGTTTATTAGCAAACAGAAGCAAAACAGTGGAAGTCTGGAGCAATGTATTGAGATCTATTGCTGCTGCAGTTGACAAAGATTCTCCCATTGATAAGATGAAAAGAATTCTGCTACTGAGTTACTTTGACCTTCCTCACGATCTAAAGAGTTGTTTGCTATATCTCAGTGTGTTTCCAGAGGATTATTCCATTGATTGCCGCCAGTTGATATTGCTATGGGTAGCCGAAGGACTGATTCCTGGACAAGATAGAGAAACTATGGAGCAGCGTGGGAGAAGTTACTTGAATGAGCTGATCAATAGAAGCTTGGTCCAGCCAACCAAGGTTGGGGCAGATGGCACAACCGTGAAACAGTGCCGAGTTCATGATGTCATACTTGAGTTCATTGTGTCAAAGGCTGTAGAGGACAACTTTGTTACCATATGGAATGGTAATGGTTTTTCTAAAAATTATTCTTCGAACAAGATTCGCCGTTTATCCATCCAGAAAGACATTTCTGCCCGGGCGGAAGAGATTGCCAAGACCATAAAAAATGCAGCTCATATTCGATCAATTAATATCTTTGGTTTTAATTCAGTGCTGGTCCATAAGCATGCCTCTGAGTTCTTAAACAGCCAAGTCTTGCGAGTGCTGAATATAGAAAGTCAGGTTGTTGGATGTAATCTTGGACATGTCAAAAGTTTTGGTCAATTGAAGTACTTGAGGGCAGGCCATCAATTTGTCGGAGTCCCCAAGCTTCCAGAAGATATAGAAAAGCTGCAACATCTAGAGACACTAGATTTGAGAGAGTCCGATCTTGAAAACCTACCAGCAAGTATTATGCTGTTGCAGAAGCTAGTGCGTGTTTTTGTCGGTGACTCAGTGCACCTGCCCGATGAAATCCGAAATCTGCAGGTGTTGGAAGAGCTATCAATGATCAATTTGGGTATTCAATCTGTAGAGTTTATCCAAGGACTCGGTGATCTGACCTATCTGAAAGTACTTGAAATTGATTGGCCATGCTCTACTGAACTACGTGATATGAAGGATCACAAGGAAGCATGTATCTCAACGGTCTCCAGGCTGCTCAGGCACCTGCGAGAACTACGCGTGTGGGATAGGGATCCTGATGCCACATGTTCATTCATGGCTTCGTGTGTCCCTACTCCACCACCACTTCAAAAGCTTATTCTTAATACAATTAACTTAAATAGGGTGGGCCCTCTAATTAGCTCACTAGTCAACCTGTCTCGCCTCTGCATTGGTGTTTATGGTGAAGCAGGCGAGGAAGGAATAAATATCCTAGCAAGTTTACCCATGCTGCTCTCTCTTACTGTTGGCTTATCCAATGACCAAGATGGAGATTCAGGCATCCTCTATGCAAGGCATGCAATCAGCAGACAAGGATTCCAGCGTTTGGTCAAGTTTAATTTACGCAGTTACAACAACCGTGAGATGGCATTGGAGTTTGAGCCGGGAGCCATGCCAAAGCTCCAAAGGCTCAAGCTGCGACTGCTGGCACGGTGCCAGTTCAAGTTTGGGGAAGGTGGCCTCGTCCTCGGGCTGCAGAATCTGGGACTCGGCCTCAAACATGTGGCTGTCCATGTTGACTGCTCTGCTGCTGTTGCTGACGAGGTGGAGGCTTTGGAGGATGACATCAGGGGCGTAGCAGCAGTCCATCCCAACCGTCCCATACTCCAGATCCAAAGAATTCATCAAGATTGGATGGCTCAGGGGTGCAGCAGGCGTCCATCCGACCATGCCACAGTAGAAGCCTAATGAAGACCATTGTGAGTACATGATTTGGAGAATAAGTATGACTAGCAATTATCATCTGTTTGCCATTTTTAGGTACGGACTACGGAGTATGTAGGAACTGAACAAGGCAAATTCGATTTGTTGTCCCCTTGGGTTCATAACTATCTGAGTCTGTCACGGAGCTTAAACTGGTTGTTCCAGTTGCTATGTGGCTTTTAGTTCTGACATTGCCTAGATACATTTGCTTGTGTAGTTTTGTCTGGGTACGACACTTCATTTCATTTTAGAAATTCTAGTCTTCCTTTTTATGCATTGATGTGTTCATCCTTCACATGGGTCATTATTATATTTGTTTCCAAATTAAGATCGATCTGTATTTGTAACGTAACTTCCAAAATTTTGTGTCATGTGGAACATTATTTTGAGCTTGAGTAAATACATCAGTACGTGAGGCTGCGGCAAGGCGGGGGTAGGCCGAGCGGCGGTCCATCGCTGCTGGAATTCTGCATGTCGCCGGTGCTTTAGGCGGCCTTACCCAATCTGGTGTGAGACGAGCTGCTCCTGGACCTTTGTCGTGCCGTCACTTCTTTCATTTATTTATTTCTTCTCTTCCTCCAAATCGACTAGCACTTAACACAGCGGTGCTCTGTTTTCAAAAGTCATTGATTGTTGACAGTAGAGTTGCTGTTTTATTTATCTTATGTTTGTAAAGAAAGACAAGTGAAATTGTCGTCGGCGTTGTGGGAGACGTGGAGAGCGGGAAGCCGCTGGCGGCCAGCAACGCACGGTGAGATCGTCGGTCTTGTTATTGTCGGCGGCCGATGCCTGTAAGGTCGTGACCGCCGCATCGACGCTAGAAGATATCTACATTCGCTTGGTCGTAAACGGCTCGTCAGAACAGTATTTTTCTCTCACACCAAACCAGCCATCAATAATAATCCACGATCGTATACGATCGTATCAGCACCAGCTGAACAGGCTGCTAGTCTAGTTCTAAAGTGTCAGCTGACAAATCATCGGTGACTGTTGGCTGCAGAAATTCACTGTGCTCCCGGTGTGATTCTCTGAATTGCTGTAGTAAAGTCACTGGTGACTTTACATCACTTGGATGCCATCTATTTCTCATCCCACTGTTAGAAAGCTCTTCGCTTTTTTTTAGAAACAGCTCTTCACTGTATTAGTGCTAGCCGGGATGCAAATAGCAGCCCATCCAAAGACCGGTTCACGGAAATGCGTATCGAGCAGGGATAGTTGGCATAATTTACTTTCTTCTGTGCAGCTTATCTTTTCAAAACTTTTACACATGAGCTTGGATAAATATAAATTTTATTTGAAAATTCTAGTCCTGAAAAATATCTACAATTATAGTATCTGACTTTTTTCATTTAAAATCATTTTTGGCCCGTTCGGCTTACCCAGAAAACGGCACTATTCAGCTTATTTTTTCAGCCGGAACAGTGTTTTCCTCTCACAAGAATTCAGCCAGAACAGTATTTTCAGCCAGTTTCAGCCACAATTCAGCAAGCCGAACGGGCCTTTGTGTGAAATTTGACTCAAATTATCTACCATTACATGGCACTTCAAAAAATTACAACTTTTTAAATAATCTTGTATGAAGATGAAATTTATAAAATAATCTTATTTCTCAATAATATATATGTCCTTTTAGTTCACAATGTTTCTATTTGAATCTATCTTGGCACCGAAATAAAGATAAAAAATTATATGCTCACACAATATCTACAACCCAACTAGTTGAAACCAAACCGTAACTCATCTAAGACCGCAAACACGGCTATCCAGATAGACTATACACTCTTCAGAGGTTGTACACTTTTTTTGCAAAAGTAGGATATTATCGCTACAGTGTGCTAGATATATGTCTGGGTGAGGGGACCGGGATGGATATAGTTGGTGGATATGAGTTGAAAGGAGATTAAAATAGAGCTCAAATGATTTAAAGTTTTTGAAATAAAATTTAAAAATAATTTTGAGTACAAGGGATTTTGAATTTGACTTTTTGCAGTGTTATCCTAAACGATAAACAATTGGTCACTTGCCATTTAGCCATTATTCGGTCTAAATATCCAATTAAATAGGCAAAGCGGTCATTAAAATGGGCTAAACGGCTGATTAAACGGAAACGGTGTACCACTGTGTAGCATTTACATGGTGTGTAAACGGGCTAAACGATTGTTCAGACGAGCATTGAATTAAAAGGTTATATATATTATTGAGAAGTAAGATTATTTTATAATTTTTATCTTCATCCGAGATTATATAAAAAATTATATTATTTTTTGAAGAAGTGCTGTGTAACGGTAGATAATTTGAGTCAATTTATTCAAACAAAATGATTTAAATGAAAAAGTCATATATTATAAAGTTGTAGATATTCTTGAGGACTATAATGTATAAATTTAATCTTTAGCTAAGCTCATACGTAAATGTTTTTATTTATATATAGAAAACATAAGCTGTACAGAAAAAAGAAAAATTTGCCAACTATCCTTGCTCTGTCTAGGAACTGAGCTTTAAATAGGCTGCTATTTGCATCCCGGCTAGCACTACTAAACTGAAGCTTCCCAACCGTTAGATGAGAAATAGATGGCATCCAGGTGATGAAAAGTCATCTGTGACTTCACTACAGCGAGTTAGAGAATCCACGCCGCTGCGGTCCATGCTCACAAGTGTTACGGGACATTATATTGGATCAAAGATCCTTTTTTAGGCATGCGTTGTTTACAGAGAGGCAAAGTTACGGTGGTCTGGTGAGAGCTATTAGGCCAAAAATTTCACTTGTATGAGCGTCCTTAGTAGATCTTAAACATCGGTACTGGTTGGTTTGATTCATCAGAATTTCAATAGAGGCCCACATAGACAAGAAAAATGTACGCGAATGTCAGCATTCAAGATGCTGCAACGGCTACATCTACTTGTTCTGTCTTCGCAAAAAAAAAACTTGTTCTGCACCAGGGATGGTGAAGGACGCGCCAGCACGAGGAAAGAGGCGATCGCCAAAAAGGGCCGGGCGCACTCTGAAGCTGTACCACGCGCGCGTACCAAGCAAACGGGTCATCAAGCCTAACCCAAAATACGTAGGCGGCGACTGGGCTAGAGAGTTTCAGAGAGGAGGGAGGTGTATATAGAACTGGGAAAAACATATTACAAGGACCTGGAGCGCTGTCCGGTTGCCGGAGGTGAGAAGGAGACGGGCTTGCGATCAGATAATGAATTCGCCTAATATCTATACTACCATAGGCAGATTGTTGATTGCGATCAGATAATGAATTCGCCTAATATCTATACTACCATAGGCAGGACAGTAGTGGTAATGCGCAGCAACCTCACCTTGGAATGTAGCGGCGGCAACGCCGCTCGAACTCTCCACCGCGTTCGTCCACGAGCTGCCTGGTATGGAGGTGCCGGCTCTTCCCTGTAGGCTGCTTCTTATGTCTCATAATAAACGGTAATACTACCATTAAGACGTCTGGAAGGTCAGATGTCTCGCTCCACTTAGTGCCGTATGCGCTGCTCGCCTAATAAAAAACAAAATCAACTCTTGCACACCTTGCTCCGCTCCACTTCGCTCCCGCTCGCAGCACTCGGCTCCGCTCCCGCATGCGGTGCTCGACTGCCAGCCCTACCAGATGGGCGCGCGGCTGCCCTCTCATGGTTTCGACGCGTGGCTGCCTACGAGTCACGGTGGCGCGGTGGCCGGCCCTGCCAGGCACGCAGCCGCCTATGAGTCGCGGCGCTCGGCTATTGGCCCTACCTAGCACGGCTCGAGGCCGCTGCCTCCCCGCCCCGGCGTGCGGCTGCTGCCCCCCTTCCTTGTCGTGCAGCCACCACCGAGTGCTGCCTACAAGCACCACCGGACCGCTGCCTTTGGAGAACTCCACATGCTGACAAGCCTCCATCCTCCAATTGGCAAGGAGATGTTTGCGCTAAAACTACATGTTGCAAGCGTTTGTTTCAAATATTTTAGAGGTATGTTGCAAGTGTTTTATATGGATGTTGCAAAAGTAGATCGTTATGTTGCACATGTTGCAATGGTTGTACACATATCTTGCAAGCTCCTATTCTCAATGTTTCTTGTGTTTTTTCCGACGTATGTTGCAAGTGGGTTTATACGTATGTTGTATATGTTTTTACACATATGATGCAAGTGTTTTATCTAGATGTTGCGTATGTTTACAATGATTTCAAGTATTTTCAGATATTTTTGCAAGTGTTTTAGACGCATGTTTCATTTGTTTTCAGACGTATGTTGCAATTGTTGCATCCGGATGTTTCAATACTAGATCGTGTGTTACATCTGCCTCCTTGCCTTTCCGTTGTCTTGCCTCGGTGTTAGGCGCGAGAAGGTGGAGGCAGTCCCCACTGGCACGGGCGAGCCCCACGTGCTTGCGGGCTAACGCACCAAGCGAGACGTGGGCGAGCAGGGCGCGGGACGCGAGATGGGGGACAGCGGCGCGGGCGTCCGGGGGCTAGCGTATATATACTCAAGTTCTACCATAAATATTGGGTATTCAATTGAATACCCAAGAATTGAGCTTGGCCTACCCCTGAAGAAATCAATCTTCGTGTGTTCGCTTGGTGAGTAAATCAGTCCTTGTTTGCGATAGATGTGGATCACAATGATTGTAACGTAGTTGTGAACATAGCTTGGAAGTTTATTTTGGGGCGTGGCTAGCTTCGGATTTCTGGGAGATATCGGCAGGAATTTTTATGTCTAAACATTACGACAACTATGCAAAATTCATATGACCACATCCTTACCAATGGAATCTAAAGGTTCTCATGGAATGTTATTCACCTTTGTCCAAAAATACTAAACAAACTCCAACCGATAGTGATCAACTTCTGACTCGCTAGGTGAGTTTTTCTAATATATATTGCTTTTACCTATTTTTCAATTATTATTCACTCATGTAGTCAATATTCAGTTTTATCCAAAAAATACTAAACAGAATCATCTGCCGTTGAGCAACTTCTAACTTGCTTGGAGAGTTTCCAGT